TGAGATGTGTGAGGTTATTATTATTTTATTATTATTTTATTATGGCATGAGGGGAACTCTCTATTAGATAGATACGGTGCGAGGCCGCGATGATCAGACAATTTCACAAGCTACTACAATAAGTACAGGATCGTGTGGTAACGGATTAAGAATACGGAGTGTCACCATTCATCTCGTGGGTGTCGTAAGAGCCGACTAAGGGAGCAAACTACTCAGGAAAACAGCACAAAACTTGACAAAAACTCTATATCAACCCGTCTGGCCAGCGTGGTATAGTAGACAAAAACCTCATTTCTAAGGAGAGGCCTATGTACAGCAATGGACTACCATAGGCTGTTGATGTGATGATGTGATTTGTAAAAGGAATGACGAGTTTGATATATTTAGAACACACACACACACATCACAGGTGAAAAAAATTCCAACTTAGATTTAATATAAACTAATTTAAATATAAACTATTAGAATAAGCTTTTTGGTCAATGTATCATTTTTTCTTTTTTTTATTACTCTGAGCTGATGAGAGCGAGACCGAAATATGTGTAACAAGAGTTTTCCGACACTTCTTGCGGAAGTTCGTTCCGACCGGGGTCCATAGAACCCTCACGCCGGTTTTTTGAATGAAAATTTCTTAAGGCACGTTGGGTATTTTTGAACAAACAAAAGAATGTTTTTTTTTGAGATGCGAAAAAGCCATTGAACTCGCGACACTGTTACTGTTACCGATGTATATTGGCCCCGTTTACACGAGAGTTGAGTTTGGGTTGAAATACATTGATAATATAGCTGCATATAATATAAACATATATTGTGCATATGTATATACGTTTAACAGAGATGTATTCATGTCGGAACTTTTCGAATCGAAAAAAAACAAAAAAAAACCTGTTCTAATTAATAAAAAAAAAATTGTGGAGTGCCGCTGTTTTTTTTTGTACTTTCTCTATATAGGTACCTTTTGTGTGTGATTTTGTACGATGGTATTCTTTTTAGTTTCTAGAATGTTTATTTTCTGCTGTTGGTTGTTGCCGAAAATAATAAAATGAATAAATAGATTTGGGGATTTAATAATAATGATAACATCTTAGAGTAAGTAGACTAATTATTATATTTTAGTCAACCATTTAAAAAAATTAACACTAACATTTAATTTTACATAAAATGCCTCTCCACAGCTTTCTTTAGTCTGATTAAACGTAGCACGTAGCTGCACCAGTTATGAAACAATATGTCTCGACAGTTTTTTCTACTTCCCTACACGTAGCCGGGAACTGGCAACACTTTAGCCTCTTGTACTTTAATTGCTTACACTTTTATTCTGGTACTGTACAATTTTGCTCATTTTGAGGTGATTTTTTCTTTAATGGGAATCTTTAGAATTTAATTATTTTTTTTTGAGTTTACTCCTGAAGAATCGTTTTTCATATAAGGCGGTATGAAAAAAATATGAAGAGTAAAATTTAGTGATCGAATGACCTCGTTACGTTCTTTGTGTGCAACCTATCGTACGCACCTCTCACACGTGTGTGTATAACTTGTATACTTGTGTGCAGTCACTTGTGTTTGAGGATTAAACTCCATTCGTGTGTCGGATCTGACTCACACATTTTTTTTTATTTCCCGACGCGAATTTGAAAACTGACTTGATCAAGAGCGTTATTACCCATAATTTAAGAAAATCTCTTAGCTGTTTGAGGATCGTCAGCCTTTTTTTAATTTTCCATCCTAACCTTTTCTAGAGAGTAGAACGCCTTACACCGAAACAGAATGTCGCGTCTCTCCTTCGAACTGTTTATCTAGGTATACTAATATTAAAAAGCAGAAAAGTTTGTTTGTTTGGTTGAAAGCTCTAATCTCAGGAACTACTAGCTCATATTGAAGAATTCTTCTTGTGTTTTATAGCTCAATTATCCAATAAGGCTATATACTTAACACCATGCTACGACCAGTAGAAACCGAGCAAATAAAGCAATACATGAAAAATTCAAAAATAAAATTTATTCCTTTTGAGAAAAGCAGGCGAAGTTGCGGGTTTCAGCTAGACCTAAAGAGTAAAGATTGCTCATATAATTAAATATCCTTCCAGAAAATACCTAAGCAGTCATCGTCCCCACATCATCATCATCAACAGCCTTTAACAGTCTTTGGACATAGGCCTCTCCTCGGCAAGAAAGTTTTGGCCTACTATACCACGTTGGCCATAGGGTTTGTGTCAAGTTTTCCTTCTCTTTGTCGTGTTGTTGTCCTGCGTAGTTTGCTCCCGTAATCGACTGATAAATATCGATTGATTGGGGTGGGGACAATCCGTATTCTTAATCCGTCACCACACGGACACGTCCCCGTCCCCACAAGCAAAACCTAACCCTTCAAAGACACGTCTTATTCAAAAACAATTTCCTTAACTGTTAATTAATAGTTCAGAACACATAATATCACCCGCGGGTGACTTTTGAGTGATGGAGATAAGGAAGTCAGCTGTCAACGACTGTGGCGCCGCGGTCCACTAAATTTTAGGCATGTGTAATTAATGTGCAGTCACTAAGAGTGGGGATCTTCGGTTGTCTTATAAGATGAAGAGGGGTTTGTCCTTCGTAAGGAATATGTTGCTTACTGTTGCCGGCGGTTTTACTCGCAGTAATGGACACGGGGGTTGCTATTTATGTATCCGGAATAACAAACAAATAGGATTTATTATGGTTTAATTGCGTTTCAAAATATTCACCGTGATGATCGATGCACTTTTGCAGACGTTGGAACCAATTTTCGTAGCAGTTTTTCCATTCTGTGGTATCTACAAAACGTGCATTTTGAACGCATCAACCTCTTCACGGCTCGAAAAATGTTGACCACATAAGTTTTTCTTCACGGTTGGGAATAAATAAAATCGTTGGGGGCCAAGTCAGGGCTGTACGGCGGATAACCCGTTATTCAATCTTTGATCTTCCAAATACTGAGTTGTTTCGGCCGATGTGTGGCAGCTAGCATTGTCAAGATGATGAAGGCAAACTTTTGGCAAAGAAATGGTCGTGTACCATTCAGAATTAACCGTTTTACAATCCTCTAGTGGCACTGTAGCCACATGTCCATTTATACCAAACCAACCAAAAAAACTAGCGACCATTCGCTTCAAAGTGCTTCTTGTACGAATGACTTTTGTTGGGTCCGGCTCATCTTGGAACACCCAAACCGTTGATTGTTGTTTAGTTTCAGAATCATACGCATATATCCAAGATTCATCACCTCTGTAGATATTATAGACAGCTTTTGACGCACCCTGATTGTACTTTTGTAACATTTTTTACACCAATCGACACGAGCCCGTTTTTTGTCAATTATCAAGTTGTGCTGAATCCAAAGTGAACATTTTTTTTATTACTATTATATTTATAATACTATTACTTTTTTTTTATACTTATTCAAAGGGACGCTTCTATCTCGCGATATGTAACATGACGATCTTGCATTTTTATTCACACACAGCACACAGCGACCATCGACGGCTTATCATGCTCATACCTAACCAGGAAACATAATTATGTATTCGGGAATTAACGCGCTCACATACCCAATAGGCTTTAGTTAGCTGGCAATTGCCTGACATTTCGATCAGGTTGAACTAGCCGTGATCATGAACTGACTCGACTCAGCCTGTTTCGGATCAGACGGCCGTGTTTGAGATGTGTAAAGTTATTATTAGATACTATACTGACTAACCACTAGATATCATATCGTTCATCAATACACGAACCATCCCTGATCTCTCATTAACATTGACAGTAGTTCTATACACAGAGATGGTAGCATTTACCGTACAATTTGATTGATGAGTCGATCTAATCAGCGTTTTACACGCCCTCTATCCACTTGATTGACGGGCGGGAATTTGACTCCGTATCCATCACAAATATACGTATCTCTATTCAGGATACATCATAAAGCTGAAGAGTTTGTTTGTTTGTTTGTTTCTTTGAACGCGCTAATCTCAGGAACTAATGGTCCGATTTGAAAAATTCTTTCAGTGTTAGATAGCCCATTTATCGAGGAAGGCTATAGGCTATATATCATCACGCTAAGACCAATAGGAGCGGAGCACCAATGAAGAATGTTACAAAAACGGAGAAAATTTATTACTATTGAGAGACGCAGACGAAGATGCGCGGGTCAGCTAGTTTACAAATATGTACTTACTGATAAGCTAATATGTGCTACCAATTTTATTTAGTAGGCGCTCACCCGCCTATTTTGTCTGCGTCTCTTAGAAGGAATAAATTTGTCCCGTTTTTGCTTCATTGTTCATTGATGATAGGCTGCTATCGTAATTCTATATAGCCTACAGCCTTCCTCGATAAATGGGCTATCTCACACTGAAATAAATTTTCAATTCGAACCAGTAGTTCCTGAGATTTACGCGTTTAATCAAATAAATAAATAAACTATAGACCAAAACCTCCTTTCTAAGGAGAGGCCCATGTCCAGCAGTGGACGATTAAAGGCTGTTGATGATGATGATGATAGAGTGAGATAAGTCATTTTACGACAACGTATCTTAACGACTTCATTTCAATTAATATTAAGTGCGAATTTAATTTGTTTACTAGGCTATTACGCCTTAACTACTCAACCAATAATCATGGCAAATCATCAATGTAAAAGGACAGAAGACTTCACGGAGAAAAAAAAGTACTGCAATAATTTGTAAAATATCGTATTCCATAATATTACCGCCAGCGAAAATTTCGTGAAAAGACACTTTGAATAGGACTATTTCAGAAGAATACAAAAATTGAAAAAAAAAAAAACCTTAAGGCGTGTCAAATTTGCTAGTTTATTTCACAGATACAACTTTTTTTTATTGTGTAGGAGGCAAACGAGCTGTCGTGTCACCTGATGCAAAGAGTACTCATATTATAAGACAGCTCAAGAAGATCCTGTTAAGTGAAGACTTGATGCAGAAGCGGAACAACGAGGTCATATAGCGCAGACAGAGAATCGTGGGAGTCCTATGTCCAGTCTAGTACAAATGGGTTCTTACCTGGACTTTCATCGGGCATATCCGAGTAGTGGTGTGGCGCCGTGGATGTTTGACTAGCGTATAGGAGGTTCAACTCCCGAGCTTCGTTTTCTTCTTGTGCTTGTTGACGGCGTAGGGCGACCTGACAAAATAGAAGACCATTATATGAAGACCAGTTCCCTATGGCTTTCAGGTATTATACTGTACTCTTAAATGCATGTAAATTTGCATTAAACGCATGTTAACAAGAAATGAATCAAAGGGGTTGTCTAATTTTTTTTTATGTATTTGTATTTTTAGTTTATGTATTTTGTGGTTTCCATTGCCTTTTTATTTAAGACCCTATAAACATTGTCTTCGAAATAAAGGTTTATTAATTTTTTATTCTCTTTATTAATATATACACATTAATTACATTTTGAATATATTACAAAAGAAAAAATATTTAAAAATATAAAAAACAGTAGGCCACCGACATCGAGTACAGGGACCAAGACACCGGTGGTTAGGACTCCAAAGACAGGAACCTCCTCACTATACGAGCCGTGTCAAGGAGAACTGCCTTCTGAATCAGACCCTTGATCCAGCCGTCTAACGTGAGCCTATTATTATTATTATTAAAAGATTGAAGATCGTTATAGAAAGAAAATATCCCTAGTTAAGTATATACTTAATTTTTTAATTGGATCGGTGTCACCTAAGTTTTTACGTTATTAGTCAGTTAACATACTCCGATACCGCGATGCAGCAAGTAGGTACCTGGTCGCGACAATCTATATGTTTGCTGATCTCCTTATAATGGTGACATTACTTATTGTGTATTTTCGGGAATTAACTTTCAATCACACATACACCAGGCAAGGAGCACTCCCTCACTGGTTTTCAATGAGTTCATGGTATCACTCCTATCTCCCATCGGCCCATATACCTACTTAATCACTTTCAAGGGTACTTATATAAAAACTCGTAATAAGTTTATTTCCACGCGTATAAAAACTATAGGCAACATCTAGTACTCAGCAGCTTTCTACCAGGACTCACCTGAGCAGCCATGACACGCTGTCGCTCCGCTATGAGCGTGCACTTGGCACACACGCAGTCTCTCCACCGGCAGTACCTCTTGTGACCCTTCAGCGCCGACACCACGCCATGGTTCCGACAGCGAGCACACTTTGGAGTCCGCTGGTGGGGCAAAGCAGACTGGTTATAATGTAGCAACTTCTTTGAACTGGTGCTGTCGATGCTACAGCGTGGATAGCACCTTAGAACCCTCACTGTCTCTCGGGGTTATCTCGTCGTTAACGGTACCCTGGTAGGCTAAGTTCAGTAATCTGAGTCGTACGCTACGTTATAAAATAGTAATACTAACACTCGTTATTGAGTTTTTGTTACGACTGAATTAAATAATTAAGTACTACTGTATAAAAAGAAACTAAAATGGTTATGGTGGCTGGTCCGTGTGGTGACGGATTTAGAATACAGAGTGTCACCACCCCTATTCATCCCGTGGGTGTCGTAAGAGCCAACTAAGGGAGAAAACTACGCAGAACAACAGCACTGCAGAGAGAAGGAAAACTTGACACAAACCCTATACCAACCCGTCTGGCCAGCGTGGTTTAGTAGGCCAAAACCTCCTTTCTAAGGAGAGGCTTATGTCCAGCAGTGGACTATTAAAGGCTGTTGATGATGTGAAAATGGTTGTATGAACATTATTGGCTCGTACAAACACGATTTTTTGATTTTTTGTTTCTAGAAATCCTACACTTTCTTAACTTCGTGGTGTCCTAGTCACCCCACTCTTACTACCAATAAGAAGAACTGTTTAAGGTATCAGGTCACTCCCATAAACTTTTTACCCAATTTACTTGGGGTACCATTAGGGTAGATATAGTATTTGGAAGGTCAGAGGGATTATTGTTATTTTTTATTTCAACGTTGTTTATTTCAATATTTATTAATATTCTATTCAACTAATTACAAGCTTTTTAAAGCGACTTCACTCGACTGATAATGGCGTTTTATCACTCAATATATTCGGGATAAAAACTAACCAATGTGCTGTTTTAATCCAACTCTGGGGCTGTCAATTCAAATCAGTATCTTTTTATAAAACGTTGTCTTTTTTATAAACTTCATCACATCACATCAACAGCCTTTAATAGTCCACTGATGCAAAATTATTGCAAGATCTTCAGTGACTGGACACATACTGCTGCTATAATAACTTGGACCTCAATGCTTCTAAATGTTTCTCCATGAGCTTCACACGTAAGCGTCAAATCACATCACATCACATCAACAGCCTTTAATAGTCCACTGCTGGACATAAGCCTCTCCTGACAAAGGAGACTTTGGCCTACTATACCACGTTGGCCAGACGGGTTGGTCTATACCATCCCGTCTGGCCAAGACAAGGAAATTTGCAGTGCTATTGTCCTGCGTGGTTTGCTCCCTTAGTCGGCTCTTACGTCACCCACGGGATGAATGGGGGTAGTGACACTTCGTATTTTTAATCCGCCACCACACGGATGGATTTATAAAATGTACAATTTTTGTAAGATACACTATAGCGTGACGTCACACCCATCATCATCATCAACAGCCTTTAATAGTCCACTGCTGGACATAGGCCTCCCCTTAGAAAGGAGGTTTTGGCCTACTATACCACACAGCTATTGTCAATTCATTTATATTTAATTATGATTTGAAGATATCAAAACAGTAAAAACATCAAATTGATAATTCATGGTGTACTTTCTGATGTTACATTTAATGATTCAGGCGTAATAACTTAAAACCTAGGTATCTACCTTATTGTCGTCGAGTTGAATGCCAACGAAATGGACCTTCTAGAGAAAGCACCAAGGCCCACAGTACTCCACAGTGAGTGCATTAAAATACATACTGTTACAAAATTATAATTCATAAACAAATCTAAAAATGGCGACCCCACAATACGTCAACATACTAACCAAATGTATCAATTACACAAACACCCTTTCCATCTATTCATAATTAAATAAACTTAACAAAAGTAACACAGTGATATATAACATTAAAATCTCTATAACAAATTATTACTGCTCTAAACAAACAATATAACAAATTATAAGTGTTACATTACGAGTATGAATTGAGTATTGTTGGCACGATTTGAAGAGGGCAATTCGATACATTGTAATTTGCACATCTCGCGTGATTGTTATTGTAATATAAATTATTTGAAACAGGAAATGTTATTTGAAACTAATGCTTTTAGTGTTTTGTTCAATTTATGTTGTTTTATTACTTATTTGGTTAGAGAACGGATGAGAGACGCCTGAACGTAGCCGAAATGCGAATGCTGAGATGGATGTGTGGTGTGACTCAGATGGACAAGGTTAGGAATAAGTGTATACGAGGGAGTCTAGAAGTAGCACAACTGGATGAAAAGTTAAGAAGTAATAGGTTATCTTGGTATGGACATGTCATGCAAAGGGATGAGAAAAATGTGGCGAAGAAAGTGTCAGGTATGGGAGTTGAAGGGTACTAGAGAAAAAGAAGGATGGACTGTGTGAGTGAGGATATGGCTAGGATGGGAGTGAACAATGAGATGATGAATGATAGAGCAGAATGGAAGAATCATACTTCGGCGCCGGCCCATAATAAAATTGGAATAAGGGTAGGCAGGTGAAGATGCTTAGAAAGCTTATTAGAGAGAAAATTTAAAGCGATAGCCACTTTGGATTATGGGCATAGAACCCTGACCCTTGAGCTACATTCTTCAATTCATCTTTAAGGATTATCCCTTTCCCGCCTATGTCCATCTGTATGTACGTTTTCTTTCTTTTTGATATATATTAGATAAAATGTAACCACAAAGACTTAAAAAAAAGTCAGAATAAGAAACTCATCTTTTTGCTTTTAAAGTTGGTTAAAAATTAGTTTAAATGAAAACTTGTTACTTTTTTCTTTCAGATCCTTGGAACAGACAGCCAAAATACAATAATATAATCATTATTATTTAAGTAATGTAAGTTATGGCTTTTAAATGAAAGCAGATACTGCTTTCATTTAAACTTTACTTTTTTTTTAAATATTCAGTCTTCGTCATATTTGTCCGTCCCGTTTGCTACACGAACATCTGTGGTAATCGCTACGAGAAGTTGGAACCCTCAAAAGTCCGATAACAGTATTTCTACAGAACTTCGATATCGCCTTGTATCTATCCACTTGGGTTTCAGAGCTCTGATGGCAATTGCTCCACGTAAATAATCTAAGTTTAGCCGTGTCGTAGGAGACTGACAGCCGACTCCAACCTGGTTTGGGTTTAGGTTCACATCACATCATCATCATCATCACATCAACAGCCTTTAATAGTCCACTGCTGGACATAGGCCTCTCCTTAGAAAGGAGGTTTTGGCCACGCTGGCCAGACGGGTTGGTATAGGGCTTGTGTCAAGTTTTCCTTCTCTCTGCAGTGCTGTTGTTATGCGTAGTTTTCTCCCTTAGTCGGCTCTTACCACACCCATGGGATGAATAGGGGTGGGGACAGTCTGTATTTTTACCAGGTAGTAACTACTCCTTAAGATTACATTCTGAAACTGCAATAATACCCTGAAAACAGTTTCGGTAACACCTGATCAAGAAGGGTACGATCTTGATAAGTTAAACGGAAGTTTTTAGAAAATAAACCCCCATAGGATCTAAAAGCCATTTCTAGAGACGCCGTCTAGGCTCTTAAAGCTACCATAATCGGTATTGGGTATTCTAAATACCTAGGTATTTTATACTCAGATCACGTCATTTCACCTTACCTAAATACAAAATGTATAATTAGATATATTTATAAAATTGTTAAGGAGGGAAATGGATTTACTGTATTTCCAACTCCTCCAATTTTCTTCTGATTAATTTCGTTGCGATTTCCAAGACAGTTTAATCTCTTCCTGGGACTTCCCGAGTGGCATAACTCGGTGTGTTCGTGGGTCACTGCCGTGGATCCTGGTGTACAGGAGTTACAATGGTGGGTGTGGGTAGGATTAGTCCCACGTAAAAAATAAATAAACCAATAATTGGCCGTGTGGTGACGGATTAAGAATGCAGAGTGTCACCACCCCTATTCATCCCGTGGGTGTCGTAAGAGTCGGATACACATAATATTGGCTTTATTCCAAAAAATAACAAAATGTAAATAAAACTCAATGAGTTATTATCAAAGTATTCGGTTTGATAAATATTCAACATGACGAACAATGATTCAACAAACAAAAAGAGGTAACTTTGCCACCCACAAGTGTGTGACGTCACACCTTACCACAGATTTACCTAAGTAAGATAACTAAAGTACAATTGGGTAAAAAATAGTGCAAAAACTCGCTACTTCGTGATGTTTCATAGTAGTTTCATGTAATAAGCAATCATCAAATATACCACGATGATACGTCAACATAACTACGACTAAATTTATTCAAATTCATATTCAAAATATCCTTATTTCATTATTATTTTTTAATTGTTTGAAATCGTCTTTTATGTAGACTCTAAAGTCATAGATCAACACACACAATAGCAACAACCTCTGTTTTGTGAAATAGTAGGGATTTTTTTAAAATAAAAATTATGGTTACACAAAATCTATGATATGTGCCGATCTATTATATGATGAACTTTCCTTCGCTGCGAGTTTCAAGCTGTTTTAGATTCCTTAACTCTTCACTAACGTACAGCGATTTATTTATATATCTACTAATACTTGAATCTGAATTAATGAATGTGAATTATCCGTGTGATGACGGATTAAGAATTCAGAGTGTTACCACCCCTATTCATCCCGTGGGTCTCGTAAGCCGACTAAGAAAGCAAACTACGCAGGACAAACAGCACTGCAAATAGAAGGAAAACTTGACACAAACCCTATACCCGTCTGGGCAGTGTGGTATAGTAAGCCAACACCTCCTTTCTAAGGAGAGGCCAATGTCCAGCAGTGGACTATTAAAGGGTGTTGATGTGATGTGAATACGTGAATCATTTTAGGAATACTTATTATAGATAAGTATACCTATGTAGAAATAGTGGACAAAGCTAAAAAATTTAGGCAACATTTCCTTTGATCTTAAAATGATGTAAAAACGATCAAATACCTAAAAGTATCGAGGTCCAATTTATTATGTATAGTCGTGTCATAGTAAAAAAAACCCTATAACAATCCGTCTAGCAAGCGTGGTATAGTAGGCCAGACCCTCCTTTTTAAGGAGAGGCCTATGTCCAGCAGTGGACTACTAAGGGCTGTCGATGATGGTGATGTTTCATAGTATAGTAGTCCAATTACAATTCAAGTTACACTGTTTTATGAAATATAACCATACACTGAAAATGGTAGGAATTCTAGGCGATCTCTAGCGAACAGAAATGCATCATTCATGCGCCATACTAACCTAGATTTAAAAATAACTAATATGGGAAGAATAGCTCTATTTCTGTCTATTTGTGGCCAGCCGTAAATTCAAAGGCATTATTAAGGCATATTAATCGTGTTGATTCCCGGGCTAATAATTATTAGGGATTATTAAAACAAAATTTTTAAAAATCCCTGGCTAAATAAGTAACTACGCATTACAAAAAAAAAACAATACCTTATAAACTAACTTACTATTTTTAGACATTAAAGATTTATTTCCCTCGGAATATCATTTTAACCACTCCTCCTTTTTATCTAATTCTATTTTATGTAATGTTATTGTTTCCGTGATATTTGATTGACATAAACAACTGTCTTAATGAAAGTAAAGGATTTTACGCATGTGTGTACTTCGAGGATTAGGAGGGAATTCCTGACTACTTAGTATACTGGCTGACTTTTCACTACTTGAAAAAGGACCCCAGTCAGAACCGAAATTATTCGACCATGTCCGTAGGTAACTACTATCCAGATGCCATCTATAAAATTGAAGTTTCTGTTTGTAATATCAAAATACTAGGATTTTTTTTTATTTGCACGATACCTATGCCTAAAAATCAATATAAATATCTTTTATCTGTGAGTCTGTTTGTTCGGGTAAGCGATTTCAATAATATTTTACTACATCTCAGAAAAAACCTATAAAATTTTGTCCCGGTCCGAGTCGCGTGCACACTAAGGCAATTTTCAAATGCCACGCGAACAAAGTCGCGGGTAACAGCTAGTCTTGAATAAAAAACGGCAAAATTACCGTTAGTTACTTTTAGATACCTATTAAAAAATAAGTGGGTATTTGTTAGAAAACTTTTATTTATCAGAATCAAATACTGTTGAGAAAAGTCCACATCGAATTGTGGCAAGGAATAGAACGAAAGCTCAATTCATTTATGTCATAAATGCTCCGACGGCAATGGGGATGAGGTGGTAAAAACTGACACTATCAGAGGCATAAATTAAGCGTCCCATGCATAAAAAATATTTGGGCTTTTTACAAAAACGATTTCCAAAAGAGAAAATTTAATATTCTATGTATGTACCAGATTTTCGTAGACTCTATAATTCGATAGACGAAGATACGTGTATGTTTCAGTTTCAAAAACATTACAAATTTTCTGTGGACCGTCCTTGTTTTTAAAATTGAAACATATTAAATTGTGTTATTGTAGATAGAATCCGCGATTTCCGACTGTTTGACCGCTAATTAAAAATAAATAACAATTATTTATATAGTTCTTTGTGATGTTGATTAGGTTAGTTTCATTAACTTTCGAGTTATTACTGTACGAAATGTCCGTGTGGTGACGGATTAAGAATACGGATTGTCACCACCCCAATTCATCCCGTGGCTGTCGTAAGAGTTGACTAAAGGAGCAAACTATGCAGGACAACAACACTGCAAAGAGAAGGAAAACTTGACACAAACCCTATACCAACCCGTCTGGCCAGCGCGGTATAGTAGGCCAAAACCTCCTTCCTCCAGCAGTGGGCTATTTAAGGCTGTTGATGATCATGATGATGTACAAAAAGTGAAAATAAGAAAAACGATTATGAATCACGGTTAGGCTGTCGCGCTTACCTCCTCGGGCACGCGCCATCTTAGCTCAAGGGCAAACACTACACTAGTCACTGTTAAGTTAAAGAAAATTCTTTAATTACTTTACTTAAACAAACAATAACACTTAAATAAAAACAAAATACAAATATCCGCCGGTTTAACCTATTCCTAAAAGCTTTCCTACCTAGTTAATTTTTTAATTTAAAGTATGGAGACACTAGAACAGTTATCATCCCCTTCTGTAGGTATAACCCTTGGTAAAGATTTTTTTTATTTAAATGACTTTTATATTCAAAAAAGTATATACCTACTAACAATTTCTATAGGTAGGTGATACGTTTTATAATTTTTTTTAATTCTTACTACTTTATTTGTGGAATATAGGTTAGTTACAGATTTTAAATTTTATGTTAAATTACCACTACATCCTGCCACATTACGTGGTGTACAAATTAATTTAAAATTCTGATAATACATCACAATTCTTAAAATCCTCTCAAACAATTTCCATAGAATTTTCTACCATGAACACAATAATAAATATAACAAAATAAAATGTCAAAACATCTACCTGATATCTTTCAGAAGCCCTGAGGAAGAATGGAGGCAGTGCGGCGAGCACTGGATGCTGCACCAGCTGGGAAACATCGACACCGTTCGGCAGAGACATCTCCATCAATAAAACAATATAACAAACAACAAATACAACAGTTCAACACAATACTATAACATTCTAAAAACAAAAACACAAATTTGTTGTATTTTATTTTTTTTGTTGGTTATTTTCAAAAAAAGAACCAAGTCTCGCCGTGAACCGCCGCGAACGTTACAGTTAAGGCGACGCACTCCGCCGAGTTGTTACGAACACTGTTGATTCATTTTGAATCGGACTGTTGCCGGGGTGGCGCGTGACAGGGACGGAACGAGAGCGAAACGACACACTGTATTAAAAGCTATACTTCTGTCTCTGTCACACTGTAGTGTTTAACTGTATATGTTGTATCATCCGGTTATATAAAATGTTGTAAGATGAGAGGCTGCGCTCATCCAATGGCGGAGAGCTGGGTCCCGCCTCTGGGTTGCCATTGGTTCGGAAATGCTGAAACTTAATTTACAAAGGTGACTCTTTTGAGATGCGAGGTTTTTTTATACGGACAAAGAGTGAATTGAATGAAGCACAAAAAACACAATTATTTTGTTATTCGCTCGAGGATTTCGTTTCGTTTGTTTTATTGTTCGCAAGTTTATTGTTGGTTGTTATTTAGTGGTCGTAATGTGGTCGAATATGGACGATTGTTTGCTAATGAGATGTTAGTTGGGATTACTTTGTTGTTCGTGTTCGAGGGTTTTATTGCGTATGATGCGTTCTGGCGTTATTTTTGTATTAATGTTTGTTTTTGTCATTTATCTTTTGAGGGAAATCTTTGAGGTTCAGTTACAGTGAATGTATTCGGGTACTGATTTTTTATTTCGTCTCGAAGGGGGGCCTATGGGAATAGATTTTAGAATATAAACCACCTAATACATAACCTATTACTATACCTACACTATAAGTATAAATAAACTCATTTTCCTGTATAGAAGATGAAATATAAAGCAATTAGGTACCTACCTAGATTGTGACCAAATACAGACACATTGAAACCTCTGTTTATATACCTTCTCCCCCCTCCCCACTAACCCAGAAGGGGGAGGAGGGCCACTTAAAGAACACCCAGACTCTGAATGACAATTTGTGGATCATACAAAGTGTCATCCCATGTTAGGATCGGACCCATAACACTCAGGGAAGTACGAAGCGGCGTGGCGACCGCTTCAACCACTACGCCATCCGTTCAGTAAAATTGCTTACGAGTAACACTGGCCCACCACAGGTTTTATGACTTTTATTTCGTGCTGAGTGTCGCATCATGACTCTGCCACGGTAAACCTGCTTAGATTTGTAGCAATATACTTATGACTCCTGAGTTGCAGACGTTCTTGGGCGGCGATAGTCATTTCCATCAGGTGACCCCTCTGCTCGTCTGCCCCCTCTAACATTAAAAAATTTATATATACTGATGTAGAGTTCAAAAAGCAGAAATGGTGCCACATTTCTGTTTTTTTTTTATATTAGAGGTGGTGTATTTTATTGTTTAGAGACACCGGTAACCGCTTACCTAACATCAGACTACCAGTCTTAGGCAAAGTTACTGTTAAGAATAAAACAGTATCTAATAACTATCTACCCACACAAATTGCGAACTTCTATACCGATGACGTCACCACCATCTTTTGAATATCGAACTCAAAGTTAACGACAACGGCAACCGTCGCCATCTTAATTCAAATATCGAACGTCAGAGCGGAAGGTGCGTTCAAATTGAAATATTTCAATTTACTTGTCGGCGGGAATTCGATTTAAATTACAATGAGAAGGACGGGGAGTGCGGGACTTGGTAGGAGGACGGGAGGGCCCCGAGGGAGGTAGTGGGGGGGGGGGGGGGCTAGGAGTAATTATCAATGTATAACTGAATATCTGCGCGTATTGTGTTTAAAGCCGATCGGGAATTTTTGTACGGGGTGTTAGTGAGTTTTTTGTTTTTAATCAAGAATTTAAGGGGTGATTTCGTTACGTCGACCTATACGTACTACTGCTCACGTTTTTAAGGTTGAAAATAGGATTTTACGTGAGGTAATTAAAAGTAGAGAGTAGAGAGAACCTTTGCCTATGAACATAGTAATAGCATCAGATACACCTATTACTGACATGAGTAAGTTATGAATTTCTTTGACTTGCTGGAAAACAAGTGAGAGCAGTAGCAGTAACTAACTTTTTTATGGTAGTATAAGGGTAGGCATAAGGGCGGGCAGAATGCTAACCTGATGATTTGAGTGGTGGCAAACTTATCATCATCAGTCTATCGCAGTCCACTGCTGGACATAGGCCTCTCCCACTGCACGCCACTTAGATCGATTTTGGGCTTCTCGCATCCAAACTCAAGGCAAACTCAAGAGTCACAAAAACCCCTCTGTGTTGCCCCCTCCCCCCTCCCCCTCACCTACGACTTCGACCTACTACAGTCTCAGTCTCATTGACCTTCCGAGACTTGCTCTCTCATAATTTATTCCATCTCCCCCACTATCCGCTTTCTTACCAGAATTTATGTGTAGTTATTTACCATGGTAAATAAATACACATAAATGTTTGCACACCACATGCTGGACAATATATGCTGGATATATGTGTCCAGCATGTGGTGACGAATTAGGAACACGGAGTGTCACCACCCCTATTCATCCCATGGGTGTCTTAAGAGCCGACTAAGGGAGCAAATTACTCAAAACAACAGCACTACAAAAAGAAGGAAAATTTGACACAAATCTTATACCAACCCGTCTGGCCAGCGTGGTATAGTAGGAAAAAACCTCCTCTCTTAGGAGAGGTTTATGTTCAGCAATGGAATATTCAAGGTTATTGATGATGATGACACGGATATGCTAGTACCTAATACCTAATAGTAACGGCCGGCAACGCGTTTGTGACTCCTGAGTTGCAGACGTTCATGAGCGGCGATGGACACTTTCCATCAGGTGACCCGTATGCTCGTCTGCCCCCTCTAACATCAGATATCGTAAAGGATACGCTACCACCAAAAATAACGAAGTTTTATACAAATTTCCAAACCCCCATTTTGCAGACTTAGGGGTAGAAGGTAATTGTCGGGGTGGCGGCGAGCGCGTTGCGAAGCGCGCTCGCTTCCAGGGAGCACCGGGAACATGGGGTTCCCACACGGGGGGGTCGTCTACTCGTCTGTAGATGACCCGAGGTATGTCGGGGCACCAGGGACTTCCTTTCTAGGGTATACCTGGTTCCAGGGCTATTAGTACCCGAGACGGCGTACGGTTTTAGTCGGTTCGAGTCAGACATGCCACCGATAGGTGGTATCCGAGGGGATTTCCGCACGGAAAATAAAAAAAAAGGGTTAGTAATTGTAAAAATCCTTTCTTAGTGCACACCTACATCACCTAAGAAACTAAGGTGCAATTTTTTAAGCTTCTAGACCCAGCCGTTGCAGCCGAGGGTTGATCGATCAGCCAGTGAATTAGTCTGTCAGTTACTTCTTCTATAAATATATATTAGACCTATAGTTAAACCGCCGTAAGCTTGGCCCTCCTGATGGTTTTGGGGGACGCGGGGCGGGGGTGCATTCAACCAATTAGCTAGTGCGTCGCTGTCCGCCGGCAGTGACTGACGTGAAAGCATGGCTGTACGTCTTATTTTTCTTAAGACTGCTACACAGGGTATTATTTTGCAACATGGATAATCTGCCGACTCTGCGTCACAAAAAGATTTAAAAACTTGAAGTTCGGCTTACAGAGGTTCTACTGTTAAAATTCTAATAAAGAATATTTATTACTTTACTTAATTTTTAAATTGTATCTGAATATAATTTACATGATGAAGATAAGGTGGTTTTATTAAAATTATTTTACAGTATTCAATTTTACAATTAATCATAAAAACTTACAATACACTGACATTATAATACATGGAAATAAATTCGATTTTTATTACATCGTGTGTAGATTAAATCTCAAACAAATAAATCTGAAGATATCGAGTTAGTACATCGTGTCATGTATAGCCGAGCGCATCACCCGCCCCGCGTCCCGCAAACCATCAGGAGGGCCAAGCTTACGGCGGTTTAACTATATCGACCTACCGACTATTACTTTTTCCAAAATTTAGACAACTTTTTAGTGGGTACAAAATTCAATTCCCGAGAGGCAGTACAAAATGCCTTTGAAGAGTTCGTTGCCCCCCGTCCAGCTGATTTTTACAAGTAAACATCAATAAACTGCCAAAGCGTTGGCAAAGATGCGTCGATTGCATGGGTGATTACTTCGAATAACAGAAATAAAAAAGTTTGAAAACATTAGGAATTTCACTTATTGCATACAAAACGGCAATTTCATAGGTAAAGTAAACCTATTATTACATCCAGACACATTCCAAAATAGCCATGCTGATCACACAATTATTTGTCCAGGGTGGGATTCGAACCCACGACCTCTGGCTTAGCAGTCAGGGTCACTAACCACTAGACTAGTAATATTTAAACAACGTAATTAGCAAAAATATTAAAAATACTCCTCAATGGTTATTATTTATAAAGTTATTATTCATCTTACATGTTATCGAGGCAGTAACCCCCTGTATAAGACCTGGAGACCTTCCAAAACTCATACATACTCCAAACATGTAGTCATGCCACCCTGTATAACAGAACAGATACAGGTGTGGCCGGGCGAGGAGCCACCCGGGGGGCAGAGAGGGGGGGACTGAGGCGCAAATGAGAATTCCGCAGAGCAACGATCAATTCGCGAAATGTGAACATTTCGTAAACGTCTCAACTTGGAGGTAGTGATGGGGATGCTTATTTATCGATATATCGATATTACTTTTGTTATTTATTTGTTTTATGTATTGTGTAACACTTGGAAGAAATAAGTTCGTGTTCTAAGCGATAAGGCCGCCCTATTTCCAGTAAAACCCTGGTGTACAAATTTATTATCTATTTATCTATCTAACGGCTCTTTAGTCGACTGATCCCGCTTGTACTGGACCCGCGTAATCAGTTGACATAATGTACCAATATTTTGAGGCTATTTTATCTAATTTTTAAAAAGAGC